CGGAGGCACTGATGGCTTCATGTAGATTAGTTAAATATGCTCAGTTCCACCATAGGAAAGGATTTTCTCCAGAACCGGGAACATGTAACAAAAAAAACAGCTCTGCAGAGAAGGCAAAACACACTGGTATTTGTTCTGGTCTGATCTGTACGGGCCCAAACTGAGTAGCTGTCATGCTGGAACAAAGGTAAGCTTTTACTCATTATCTCACACTTACTTCTCTATGGGGCAGTTGGTCACTGTCGTGGCCTGTTCCCTAGTGTAATACCTCTCATCCACACTGTCTGTGCTAGGCCAGGAGGAGCAGATGTGCAGACAGTCCTAAGAGTATCATGTGGCATCTAAATAGTGAGAAGCAACAGTTACTCATTCCAGAAACGCTATGCCAGTAATTTTGATGTGTTGGTTAAGAGAGAAGACTCTGGAGTCATATAGCCACTTATTAACAATGTTGACTCATCCGAGTTTCCTCTTCTGTAAAATGGGACTATTGGTTCTGGGGTTAAAATGAAGTAATACTTGTAAAGCACTTAGAATGATAGTCTCTGGCACATTGTGAGCCCTGATAAATGTGAGTTATTGTTAATACTATTAAAAGCATTAAGATAGTAACAACCCCATATTTCCTTGCAGCAGTAACTTACAAATCCTGTCCTCCACTGATCTGTTCTCCTGACAAAATCTGAAATAGGCTTACTATAACTTTAAAATTTCATTTGACCTCATCAATTTAAAGAGTAGAAATAAAACAAATATGGTTATGTTAACATGATAAACTGAAGTGAGGTGTACATTTGAAGGTGCTGACTCAGTAAACTTTTTTTTTTGACTCAGTAAACTTTGATGAAATGTAAAGTTTCCCACAATAGGATGACTATTGCTCTCGGTCCCCAGACCTTGGCCTGGTTTAAGAAGTAGAGTACATGTAGAGGGTCCAATAACATTTCTCAATGGAACTGAGAAGAATTTTTAAAGCTGCCATAGTCAATTCATCATTTCAACGCAAATATACTATGCTTTGACAGGACCCCAATTCCTCCTCTCTGGATTCGTATAACCGAGATTTTAGATGTATTTCGAGAAGCATATTTATTCAAAGGACATCATGCAGATTTGGTGGAACCAAGATCAAACCACTGTAAGGAATGGGTCTGATTGGACATACAATTGAGGAAGCCAAGTGGCTTTAAAAACGGCTCAAGAGATGCTCCTCTTTATACTTACCCTCGTGCTCGTCCCACGACATCTTTTTTCTCCAGCCAATGCTGTCCTTGTTTATAGAGGCCTCGGTCATCAACTGCATTATTATCGCCTTTGGTCAAAAACTTGATATGTCCATTTTGCCTTAAAAGAGTAAGGGGAAACCTACTTTATCAAACACCTTCATGATATTTGAAAGCACAAAATTTGCTCTTGTTTACCTAAAATTTCCATGGCACTGGTATTTATCACCCATTTCTAATATCAAAATAATTTGTCATTTAGCTAAAAGGAAAATCTGTCTTGGAAGAAATATGACCAGAGTGCTCCTTAGAGGCAAGGATGGTGACACTTCGTCTTACATGCTTTGGTATGTTGTCAGCCCCTGAAGAAGGACACCACATTTGATAAAGTGAAAGGAGGGAAGGCCCTCAACAAGGTGGATTGACACAGAAGCTGCAACAATGGGCTCAAGGAAAGGACAATGGTGAGGGTGGCGTAGGACCGCGCAGTGTTTCATTCTGCTGTGCACAGGGTAGCTTTGGGTCGGAATCGACTAGATGGTACCTAATAACGACTACTATAAAGCATTCGTTTTTTTTTTCTCTTTTTAATGCTTTCCTTTTTGAAATAGAGAATTTATAACACTCACCAAAGCACAGCACAACAGTAAAATTAGTATCCATGTACTATCACCCTGCCCCAACAATTATCAATCTACAGTCAACTTTTCTCATGCATATTTCATTTTTCCCCCTTATATATATATATTTTTAAATCATTTTATTGGGGGTTCATACAACTCTTATCACAACCCATACATACATCATTTGTATGCAAGCACATTTGTATATTCATTTACTCTTATCATTCTCAAAACATTTGCTCTCCACGTAAGCCCCCGGCATTAGGTCCTCATTTTCCCGCTTGCCTCCCCGCTCCCTCCTCCCTCATGAACCCTTGATAATTTATAAATTATTATTTTGTCATATGTTACACTGTCCAACGTCTCCCTTCACCCACTTTTCTGTTGTCCGTCACCTAGGGAGGAGGTTAGATGTAGATCCTTGCAATTGGTTCCCC